GCTGGGAGTTTGGCATGTTTAGCAATGATTTCAGTGGAGCTGACTATTATTGAAGAAGTGAAGACCAGGCAGATGGAGGATGAATTCTTAAAAAGGGTGATCGATGAATTTGCCACCAAGCCGAGGTCAGGGTACGCCATTGAGGATCAGGTACTTAAGTTTGGAGGAAGATTGTGAGTGGCCGATGTTGCCAAGTTGAAAAGAAGAATTTTAGAAGAGGCTCACAAGTCAATGTTTGCTATGCATCCGGGGAATACTAAAATGTACCAAGACTTGAAACAAATGTACTGGTGGCCCAATATGAAGAGGGAAATTGTAGACTACAACTCCAAATGCTCTCAATGCCAACAAGTGAAAGCCGAACACCAGAAACCAGTGGGTTTGCTTCAATCCCTTTCTATTCCAAAATGGAAATGGGAATATATCATTGTCGGTCTACCTCAGACATCTAGAGGTATGAATGCTATTTGGGTTATTGTTGATAGATTAATGAAATCTGCTCATTTTCTTGTTGTGAAAAATTCGTTTAATGCCTATAGACTTGCCATTATTTATATTGATGAGATCATTTGATTACATGGGGCTCCAGTATCTATTGTGTCAGATAGGGATCCTAAATTTGTTTCTAGACTTTGGTAAAGTTTGTAACAGACAATGGGCACAAAATTGAGTTGCAGCACAACTTTTCATCCACAAATCAATGGGCAAACAGAGAAAACTATCCAAACATTAGAAGATATGCTTCGTATGTGCGTCCTAGAATTTCAAGGCAGTTGGGAAACTTATCTACCGTTGGCTGTGTTTGCTTATAACAACAGTTTCGACTCATGTATCGGCATGGCTCCTTATGAGGCATTGTATGAAAGAAAGTGTAAGCCTTTAGTTTGCTGGACCGAGGTTGGTGATAGAGCTTTGTATGGGTCTAAGCTTGTGCAAGAAACAACTGACAAGATAAAAATCATCCAACAGAGACTCAAGAATACCTGAAGCCAACAGAAAGTTATGCTAATCAGAGAATGAGATATTTGAAATATGAAGTGGGAGACTATGTCTTCATCAGGGTAACGGCTATGAAAGGGCAAACAAGATTTGGCAGAAAATGGAAATTTACTCCAAGTTACATCGAGCCATTTCTAATTCTTGAGAGACTTGGCCCTGTTGCTTATCGTGTTGCTTTACCGCCAGGAATGCACAATGTCTTCCACATATCAATTCTCCACGGATACCTTAGAGATCCATTCCATGTCATAGACTACCAAAGAATAGTGCTAGATGATGACATGATCTATGAAGAGAAGCCAATTCAAATTATTGATCGGCAAGTCAAGCAATTGAGAAACAACTCCATTTCTATGGTAAAAGTTGAATGGAAAGAACATTGTGGGAAAGAAGCAACGTGGGAACAAGAGGACGAAATGAGACAACACTACCCGGAATTGTTTCCAAATTGAGGTAACTCAAGTTTGGAAGACTGTGATGACCCCGACCTTCGTAAGGAGGGAAGACTGTGATGACCCCGACCTTCGTATTATTTTTCCATAATATTTTATTGAGCATTATTGCATGATTATATGGTTATTTGATACTTATCTGTTAGTTTGTGAATTATCTGTTTGAATGTCGACGTAGATTGCGAAATTGAAAGCCCAAACGGATTCAGAAACAAAAATTGATTAATTCAATATGCTAGTTGGAATATTTACAACCATATGGTAAGTTTAATCAAAATTTGATTCAAATCAAAATAATTAGAATAAAATAATCACAATTGATTAGACTTAAGCTCAATTGGTTAGTCTTAGCCATATGTCATTAGTGAAGCCTTAATCAACCTATATATATGTCCTAATCAAACTTAGGAGCTCATTCGAACAACCTTTAAGCTAAAAAATTGAGAGCTAGAGAGAGAACTCAACATCTTACAGAGAGAAGGAGAGAGAATAAGAATTCAAGAGGATTAAGGTGAGATTGACGGAGTTAAGCTCAGCTAAGGCCTAATTCAAGCTCTAGGTATGCTCTTTACCAATAATTCATGAAGTTAAATCCATGTCGGGAGATGAATTCACCAAATTGTAGGACCATTTGCTTGTAATTGAAAGAAATGAGCATGAATCACCAAGAGTTTAGTGAGTCAGAGGGAATTGTGTACATGCATGCAAAATTTCTCACTTATGAACTTGGGTTTTTTCAAATTCATACATGCATGGGACTTACATGAGTTATTTCATAAGGTTCTTCATGGTTTTGCACTCAACACCTCATACAAACTTGTTTTAGAAATAAAAGAGTTGAGTTTGTTGGATACATGTCAAGAACATGGTGTTTTGAGCTTTGTTTTGAAGAATTGAAAGAGAATTTGAGATCATGGTTTCATAATTTCCAAAGATGCATGTTTTATAAAGTGTTTCTAAGATTTTGAGACCAACCATGCAAGTTTATACATGAAAGCAATGATTTTGAACTTCAAGCACAAATTTGGAAAACCCACATTCTGTCCAGTTCGCTCGAGCAAAGAATCCATCACTCGGGCGAAAAATGAAGGCATTCAGTACTTTTATAGACATTTGGTCTTTGGCTCAAGCGACCATCGAGTGATCATTGAGCATAAAATTCAAGCATCCAGTACTTTTTCAATTAGCCACACCGCTCAAGCAAACATGTGTGCACTCGAGCAAAGACCCTGTTTTGAGCAAATGTTTACTAACACTCCTAAGTGCATAATTGCATCTTCATGCCCTTTTAGGCATTCTTTTACATCATTTGAACTTCCCTAATCACGGAATAAGCTAGAAACACACATATGAGAAATGAATTAAGATATGATACTTGTTTTGAATGTGTGTTCAATGTGTATTGATGCTATGTGCTTTGTGAAGGTGGTCAATTGAGGCCTACCGTTAGTACTAGCCCACTGTGAGTAGTACTTTTGTAAAGATAAGTTATTAAAGTGTGTTTTGGTTGCCGCAAGATCATTATTTTGAAATGTTATTTCATTAAAAATGAATGATTGTCTCTTTCAAATTGTAAGTGTGGCATCCTTAGTACCGGCCTCGCCCGAGGGTAACAATACCGTGGCCCATGATATATGGACCTCGCCCGGGGGTAACAATATCATGGCCTATGATATATAGCCCTCGCCTAAGGGTAACAATACCATGACCCTTTGTTAAAAAGATCTTTGATTTTGACCCACATGGTCCCTTTGGGCACTAATGGATGTACCACATATGAATATGATTTGTGAACTTTGATATGACAAGTACTCATTGATGATTTGCTTCGAACTCATGTAATATGATTTTGTACAATGATAAACATCATTCATTTAACCTCTTTATACTGGTATTACTCACTAGGCTTTAGCTCACCCCCTTTCCCTATATATATGCTGGTGAGCAAATGGAACATCAAGCATAGGGCAACCTCGGGAATCCACCATTTTGTCAGCCATTTTGAAGTGCCTCTGTGATGGGATGATCTTGGTCTCATGTGGAGCCAAGTGTGTCAACCTTGGGAATCATGATGCTTTGTTTTATTTCTTTTGGTTTAGTTTCTTTTGTTTTGGAACTTGAAATGAATGGATAATATGTACAAGTGTAAAGATGGTACGATGTACTTTTGTATCCGCACCAATGAAGAAGTTGAAGTCTTAATTCCATATAGTCTTTCATGTATGCACTACTCGATGGATATGTTATATTTTAATATTGCTTCTGCAAGGCCCCATTAATATCTTTATCCATCAGCTTTGTCTTTAAGGCCAGAGGTAATCTGGGATTACTGGCCAGTCACAACCTAAACCTCTAGGGGCTGGTTCGGGCAGTGACAGTTTGGTATCAGAGCACAAGTTATATCTCACTCACTAGTCCATTGAGCAATAGTGTCTAAAAAAGACTTAAGGATTGCATTCTCATACATTTGAATGTTAATATGAGATAACTTCTGAAAATATGTATATGTGTATGTGTGTGCATACGCTATCTTTGTCATGATACAAGTTCCATATAGATAATGGTGAGAACAAGAGGGGATGAACTGAAGGACTCTACCTCCAACTGCCTTAATCGAATGGAAAGGATAATGCAGGATATGGCGAAGAACCTAAGACAACAACAGCAATGGCAGCAGCAGCAACCACCACCCCCATTTCCAATACTTGTACCACCAATACCGGGCGATCAAAATGAAGACAAAACCATTACCCTCACCAAAGAATTCAAAAAGATGAAACCACCTTTGTTTCATGTGGGGATTGATTCGCTAAAGGTAGAGGCTTGGGTATTAGGAATTGAGAAATTGTTTGAGGTGTTCACATGCATGGAGACACAAAAGGTATTGTTAGTCGTCTTTACTCTCGAAGATGAAGCAAGAAGATGGTAGATGCCAATACAGGATACTAATAGGGGAATTAATTGGGCTCAGTTCCTAGAACTCTTCTACAAAAAATACTTCTCGCATTGTGTACGGGACAAAAAAGTGACAGAATTTGAACAATTGAAGTAGGGAAAATTAGCACAAAATTAGTTATTGGCAGAGTATGAGGCCTAATTCACAAAATTAGCACAGTTTGCGCCGCATATGGTCGACACGGATTACAAAAAGGCCAAAAAATTTGAGGGAGGTCTCCGTGATGCAATTCTTGACAGAATTAATTTTCTGAAACAGCCCAAATATGTTGATGTTCTAGACAAGGCTCTTATGGCAAAGACAAACTTGGTTACCCATGATCGAAATTTTGAATGGAAGGAAAAAAGGCAGAATCTAAATGTGAACAAAGGGGTAACCTCAACAACAACTAAGAAGGCAAAGTTGGAAAATTCTAGTAGCTCCAATCAGAGTGGTAATTCAGCACCTAATTGCCCAGATTGTGGAAGAAAGCACCTGGGTTTGTGCTACAGAATCACCGGGGCTTGTTTTCAGTGTGGAAAGACAGGACACCTAGTGAGCGAATGTCCTCAATCACAGCAACGTAGCAATCGGGGTGCTACAAGCTCAATTACATTGGTGCCAAATATAAGGGCCAATGCAACTCCGGCTACAACAAGGGACAATCAGAGACAAGGAAGGATTTTTGCTCTTGTACCAGGGGACACTCAAAATACAGAAACTATAGTCTCAGGTACACTCTCTATTTGTAGGCAGTATGCATATGTTTTGATGGATTCGGGATCTACCCACTCTTTTGTCTCTATGCGATTTGCTTCTAGAATGAATAGACCGTTGGAAACTTTGAGATACATATTATGTGTGTCATCACCATTAGGGGGATCAATGTTATGTTGACTATTTATCCTGCATATGAAATTTTACTTGAGAATGCTACACTATACATTGACTTATTGCCTTTAGACATGACTCACTTTGACATTATTTTGGGTATGAACTGGTTGTCTAAATATTATGCAACCATTGACTATGCATTTAAACGTGTAATATTCTGACCTCCGAGATAAACCGAGTTTTATTTTGAAAGTAGAGGTGTAGTTCCCTCACCATATTTAATTTCTACCATGGAAGCACATAAACTGATTAACAAAGGGCATCATGGGTATTTGCATAGTGTTTTGAATATTCAATTTTCAAATGTTGTTTTAAATGACATACCAGTTGTGAAAGATTTTTCTGATGTGTTTCCAGGAGAGTTGCCTAGGCAGTTAGTTAATAGAGAAATTAAATTTGTGATTGATGTAATGCCTGGTACTCAACCCATGTCCGAAACTCCATGTCGTATGTCAACTGCTGAAATAAAAGAGTTGAAAGTACAGTTAGAGGAACTGCTTGATAAGAGGTTTATCCAGCCAAGCACATCACCGTGGGGTGCACCTGTATTGTTTGTGAAAAAGAAGGATGGGACACGCCGCCTGTGTATTGATTACAAAGAACTCAACAACATAACCATTAAAAATAAATATCATTTTGCCTCGAATTGACGATTTGTTTGATCAGTTATAGAGGCCTCAAGTATTTTCAAAAATGGATCTGCATTCAGGATACCATCAATTGAAAGTTATGGTTGAGGACATAGAGAACACTGCCTTCCGAACCAGGTATGGACATTATGAGTTTTTAGTCATGCCTTTCGGAGTTACCAATTCACCTGCAGCCTTCATGGACTTAATGAACAAAATCTTTAAATCATTTTTGGATGGATTTGTTGTAGTTTTTATAGATGACATTTTGATATATTCAAAGAGTAGAGAAGGACATGAACAACACTTTAGAACAATTTTGCAAACACTTAGGAGAAACAATTGTATGAGAAATTCAAGAAATGTGAATTCTGATTGAATGAAGTTACATTTTGTAGGTATGTTATTAATAGAAAAAGGATATCTGTTGGCCCACAGAAAATTGAGGCAATCATTAACTGACCTACTCTGACTAACATAACAGAAATTCATAGTTTTATAGGTTTGGCAGGTTAATATCAGAGATTTGTGAGAGACTTCTC